TTCACTTGTTGTTGTCAAAAATATGTCTTGAATAATTGGTAATGCAGTCGACAAGAAGGACACTGATGAGTCAGAGATCTCATTCTCACGGTATTCACGATTTTCACGATAAGTAAGAATTGAAGCTGCTGTTGTTGTTTCTGCCAAATACTCCTCCACCGCTCGAAACGTCTTTTCATCTTTTAATTTGGAGAGAATCGTTTCCACTCCATCATTCAATGGCGGCCACCCACGATCTCCTTCTGGTTGAGATGAAGATTTGATGTTCCTCCAAGAAGGTTTTGTCATTTTTCAAACCTATTAATCAAACTTTTAATCTGATCTTAGAAATAACCACATTTATGTATGACGAGAGTCTTCGGATAAGTGGACACCCGATTCGATCAATCTCATGAAAATGAAAGATTAAATTAAAGATGAAATCAAAGATTAAATCTCTGAAGACGGATTTGTTGAAGCATTTATCTTTGTTTCTACAAGTTCAGCCACTTCAAGCAATTTTGATCCTCTGATATTTCAAACAAGTCACTGAAGTGGTGCATCATTTCGTACCTCCCCAAAAGTATGAAGTCAGCGATTTTATTCGTGAGCGAAGTGGAACGAATGTTCACCTGAAATATCCGCTCATTTAATTCTCAATCTGGAAGACGCACCTCAACGATTTTTGCCCCATTTTTGTAAGCATCCCATGGAACATTGCAAGCAGGAACAACATTGGCGCTCGTTCCGACAACCTGAGGCGGTTCACATGCTCGTAGTTGAAATTATAATGCCAACAGGTTGCCTCGATTAAAGCGCACTTGTTGGCATTGGCATTAATCTGTTCACATAACGACGCCTATTAATCAATCTGACTTACGAGCATCAAATCGCACTTTTTAACATGTTCATTGCAAACTGCAACAGCTCTTCTGGGAATAGACTCCCCTGACCAACAGGATCAAAGCGTCCACAACAGAAAACTCACCGAATAGAACGGCGTTTGGCTTCAAAATTCCTCCACAAGGACACTGAGAGATAGAATCATTGAACACTAGATTGAAGGAATACAGATGAATAACCGGATAATAGATATAGATAGAATATGGAAAGTGTGAAGCGCCGAATTGAGCCATACAAGACACGCTTACCGTGAAGCGGAGTCTCGCTCAAGAAGGAGAGCAGATACTTACATGGGGGTGGCAACTTGTCCCGAAATGATGCTGAAGCAACGACCGCTTTATCGAGGGGTTCTATTTTTCCACATTTTAGACACACAGACTCCATCAGTGTTCCATGATACTCAACAACATTTTGACTTCCTGCCTCTTGATGAAGGTGATCCACATTCTATAAGAAGCAACAGACGCCAGAAGCAATGCACCTTAATGGTATGATAGATGATTGAGCATCTGTACCTGAGTGACGATGCATTTCAGTTTTCCGATTGCTTCAAGCTTCGTCAGTCCAAAATGCGTTCCATTTGGTTTCGGATCAAGCGTCTAAGTCGAAAGCTGTGACAGTTTCAAACAGTTTCTTACCCCCAGAAACTCAGAAAGCAAACTCCAGAGCTTGACGGGATACCGCTTGAATCCCCAAATAGTTCCACAATCAACAAGACTGTGTCTACGGACACTGAGTCACGCATCGCGTTACAGGAGTTCTTACTTCGCCCAAACTCCATCAGACGGATCTCGAAATGTAGGAATTCCACTCTCAGCAGACGCCCCAGCGCCAGTCACCGCAACGATATATCTGGAACCAGATCTCTCTATAATTTCGTCTCTTATGTTCTACTCCATCTATATCCTTGAAATCTATTTCTATAATTATTCCATACCTTGCATTGACAATCAGATCTGCTAAGTCTTCTATTCCTATCACTTTGGTCTCTTTACGAACAAAGTACGTGCTTAGTTGACCCATAGAGATAAAAACTGAGTGACTGCACGCTGGCCACACATGTGACAGAAAAATAAGAACGACTCTTCTTCTCACTTCCTCCAAGTCACAATCGATTTGCTGAGTTTTGCAATGCGCGCTCTGTTAATCGCCCCAGTTTGCGAAACCCAAAATAGACCAGGATTTTTCTTTCTAACATCGTTGAACGGAAATCGCAGATACATTAAATTTTGAAACACTTGAAGCATTCGTTCTTCAAAATCGCAAAGAGTTTTCAATATCTGGCCTCGATAGAGATAATGGGGACGCAGTTGAAGAGGAAGAGATTCGGCTGAAGCTGCAACAGCCTCAGGGTAAAGATCGGAAGGGAGGCTGTTGACAGAACGCCACATTGTGATTTCAGCGAGACGTTCTTGTTCGCGATAGGGACGATTGAAGATCTGCAGAGAGAGACTGAAGCTTGATGAGGAAAACAGATTAACCGTCTAACATTCCTACCCGTTTCTTCTCTTTGTAGAGCTCGTGCTTGCGGGTGAACTCGGCGCGTTGCTCCGGAGTTTCTGTTGGCTTCATCGGCGCACATATGATGTCGAGCAATGCCATAATGTTTGACTTATTCTCTAAAAATCTGACTGTCTCGGCAACAAGGGGGGGGCGGAATGTACGGAACGTATTTCGTGACATCATTTTCAGTTCTTCGAACATGCTTTTTTTTTATTTGAATTGCTTTCAGACGATGTGGGGAGATACGAATCAACATCTGGTACAGTGATGACTAAAAATTCGTAACCAAAAGATGTTCAAAGAAGCAAAAATGTTCAAAGAAGGGTTAAAGATGCCAAAAACGGAATAGCTACAGCAGTGACGCCAGAAGAGATAAAGTTGACAAGATTGTTATCAAGCAATGGAATCCCGCTAATGCATTGAACACCAGGCGCGGGGTCTTCAGTGATGAGAGTCGTTGATTTGATAATTCCTGAGAATTGAATTGTTGCGCCAAGCAATGAATCAAGTAAACTGCCAATGAGACCAGCCAAGAGACCAACGAGGATCAGGGGCCATTGCGTAACGATCAGGGAAAAGTATGTCGTTGTCGTTGAGTGACAGAAAATAATTGTGAAAATATAATGAATTAAACCTTGATAAACGCCGCCTAGAAGACTGAAAATCAGACCTAAGAGAGTGACGCCTCCATTAGTTCCGATTGGGACAGTTCTCCATGGTTTAGTAACGAGAACTGGCAAGTGAGCGGAAAATACTGGACCGAGTTCAGAAGCAAACGTGTCGGCTGAACAGCATGAGACTGCGGCGAGAACAGCAAGATGGAGATGCGATGCTAACAGTCGGGCTGGTGTTGTTGATGGAGAGAAGCGAAAATCAACGGGCGACTCCCCATGCCCGATCAATCCGATTGTCACCAGACAGAGAAGAACAACGACGCCGCAGTTAGAAGCAACTTGCTCCCAAGTTCGTTGACCTTCTGGTTTATAATTAGCTTCGAATTTTTGTTTGATGTGAGTCCCAATTTTCGTCACCTTCGATCCCGATATTAAGAACGCCACAATTGATGCACAATAAACGCCTGATGTGATAGTGATCAAATAACCGAACAAGTAGATGATTGGGACTGCTGAGGGAACAACACTCCGTTTTCGTAGTGCTCCTAGTATTACAAATGAAACAATGATCAGAGCAGCTGCATGCCGAACGGGTGAAATTGCAAGATAGTTGTTCCGTATGTTTGGATGAAGAGCGATCGCTATTAAAATCGGGAAGAATCCAAACAAATACAGTCGTCTGGATTGCAGCATGGTGCGGTCCTGCTAGTGTACTGGCAAATGGGACTATAGACGAAGCGAGGCAGTTCTTATTGTTTTCGCAGCGGGAAAGTTCTCGACGCCTTTGATGTCCAAGTGTGGGAAAGACGCTGTTCCTCCGTGCGCGAGTCCCGTGAGCGTCACCCAGTCCGATGATTCCACGCGATTTCTGATTTGCGGAGACACCGATGGAGAGTTCGCCACTTTGGCATTTCATCTCCGAGCCGTCGAGCAACGCCAAGGCCCTTTCAGTTTCGTTTTGTGTTGTGGGAAGTTTTTCGGAGACAATAATCCGCTAGAGATTTCAACAGTCTCGTCAAGTGCGCAGGAGAACGTTAAGGGCTCAGAAGAGAAGAACGGGGACTCTCAAGATCCGAGCAGCTCAAATGCCTCATATATCAATGGGGAAGTACAATTTCCTGTTCCTGTTTATTTCATTGATTCGAGCGCGTGCCCGATTAGTGAATATTTGCGCGTGGAGCATCCAGATGGTCTCGCGATTACATCAACTTTAAGATTTCTGGGAGCTTTTGGATTCTACAATATTTCTGGATTCACGATTGGATATCTCTGTGGAAAATACGACTCAAGTGTTTTTTTTGAAGAAATGGACGATGAAGAAAGCATAGAGCTACCCATTCATGCCGAAGCAGAAGAAGAGGCGCTCAATGAAAATGTGTCGTGCAAAAATGTTTCTGATAGCGATCGAAAAGGAAACAGAAGAAAGTTCTTTGGAGGACTTTATTCGAGCTTTTACTGTCGTTCTACACTTCAAAGACTCAAAGAGATAGGAGCGACTCACATCGGCAAGACTGACATTTTCGTCTCCTGCGAATGGCCAGCAGGACTTGATGAAGCGCTTCTTGTTCAACAAAAACAGGATTATGCTTCTGTGATCGCGTTGAGCCAACAGGAGAAATTGAAGTCGTTGAAGACAGAAAGCCTCCTTTCATCGTGAGTTGTCAGGATTACAAGTTCGCTCATGATGGTAATCTTCATGATGGTAATCTTCATTTCAGGTCCCCCGCAGTATCTGAAATAGTTGAAATGCTTGAGCCGCGTTTCCATATTGCAGCCGGTGAAGACGTTTTTTATCAGCGTCCAATCTATAGAACATCTGAAAGAGGTATGAGAGTATTTCCTGGTTTGAATTTCTGAGACCTAAGGGATTGATACGTCTCTCTCTCATGACTCAATTCTTTCATGACTCAATTCTTTCATGACTCAATTCTTTCATGACTCAATTCTTTCATGACTCAATTCTTTCATGACTCAATTCTTTCATGACTCAATTCTTTCATGACTCAATTCTCTTTAGGTCTCGCTTCCAGATTTATCGGTTTGGGGCCTTTACGTTTTGCTCAAAGGGTCGCAGCGGAGAAACGTCTTAAGTTCATCCATTCTTTGATTCTGAAACCAATGACTAAATTATCTGATCAAACAATATTAGCAGTCCCATTGTCAAGCACCTCGAGTCCTTACTTTTCTTTGTACAATCCCCGAAGCACGTCAATCACATCCCAATCACTCGAAAGTCCTTCTCGTTTCAAACGTTCTCGTTCTGAGTCCCATCCATTTCCAGCTTCTTCCCCCGCAAGGGTTCCGTGCGTCTCTGATTTTGTCCGTGGATCCGACGATCCTACGGAAGCAAAACGACAACGCGTGTCCGACCCCGTGCCTCCCCTTTCGCAATCGCCTTTGGGAGTTCTCAAGTCTCTTTTCTCAAACAATTCCGACGCCGCTAGCCCTTGGTCCAACAAACCGCGTGATGAGTCTGAATCTTGTACTTCCATTTACGTCACAAACATCCCATACGAAGTTGATCAAGAGAGTTTCATGGAAGTGATGAAATCTTTCGGATCGATCGCATCCCACAGTTTTCCGCGCTCTTCTGAAGGAAAATCAGCAGGCAGAGCGTAAGATCTCGATCACACCATCACATTGTTGTCATTCATATTTGAACGCCTTTTCTAAAGCTCATTGAAATAGTGTAGGGTGTCGATCAGATGAGCATCAGTATCTGATCAGTATCTGCATGAACTCCTTTTCTATAGCCTGTTGACATTTGTGTAGGGCTCGTGATTTTCTTATTTTGCTTTCAGGTGGATAACATACGATGGCATTCAATCAGCAGAGCGAGCAGTTGCAGCAACAGATCGACTTGAAGCTGGAGGTCGATCGCTCAAAATTCAATTTAATCACTCATTTTCGTCTAGAAAAAAGTTTCCTGAAGAGAAACAATTACAAAGAAGATCCTCTCAGGCAATTGATGTTAGACCGCATTCTGGTGAGTGCTGTTAATCCAACTTCTGAGATTTTTTGCCACTTTTCAGATTGCTGGTTTTGTTTGGCGAATCCAAATTGCGAAAAACGTCTAATCGTCGCAATCGGTGACAAGGTCGGACCAAATCTCTCTCTCATCTTCTTTGATTCTTTCTCGTTTTCTCAACTGTTGCATGAATTGATTCCTTCTTTTCAGGTTTATGTAGCTTTAGCAAAGGGAGGAATTGTTCATCAACATGTTCTCATCATTCCTGTGACTCATTGGCCGAATTTCGTATTCTGTCCCCCTGATTGTGGAGTTGAACTCGAGAAATACATCGTAGCACTACGTCGGTGTTACCGCAGCCAGGTCAGCCCCAAAGACGAGCAAGATTCTAGTTATAATATTCCAGTCGATTTTCTCCGTCATCGGTTATCTATACCGTCGTCGGTTATCTATCTGCGTCATCGGTTGTTTTTTTAGGGAATGGAGGCGATTATTTATGAGCGATACTTTCCGATGAAGGCCACTACAGGGATGCACATGCAGATTCAGGTTGTTCCTGTCCCAAGCAAGTGCGCAGCAAGGAGTTTAGAGGTCTTTCGAGTGAGTGACATCATGGAGACATGCGCATTAATCATCCGCTCTTTTTAGAGTCGAGCGGAACGTGCAGGAGCGTGCCTTCAAGTTTTAGCGAAAGATGAAACAATTTCGTCGCTTCGTCGTCGCATTGTTGATCCTGTTACTCAATCCTACTTCTATGTTGAACTTCCTGGGTCTCATCCGGATCAGGTAACCGCTTTACTTTCAGTTGTTTGTTTTAGAGAATTTTTAAATCTTCAAATTTGTTGTCAGGTGGAGCGCCTCTTGTATACAACTCCGTCCTCCAGCGACAATCAAGCGAATCGCTTGCCCTTCAATTTCGGTCGTGAAGCAATCGCCGCTTTGATGGATATTCCGCAGCGGTCTGATTGGAAGCGTTGCGTTGAATCTGAAAGTGTTGAAATACAATTGGCGCAACAAATGCAAAAGCTTTTTTGTTCATTTCAACCTAAATAGTGCTTCTTTTTCACTTGTGCCTGCCTATAAACTTCAAACTGTTAATTTTTTGGCATGACCATTTCAAACATCTTCTGCTCGTTAGGACCATCATGAGTGTAACAGCTTCACTCCCATTGCTTGATGATTTTCACGTTCATCTCCGACAAGATGAAATGATGGAACTTGTTACTCCAACTGTAGTGCAGGGTGGATGGTAAGAGAGATAGATGTGTCTGGCTAAAATAAGAAATAGATGTCTGGCTGAGATAAGAAATAGATGTCTGGCTGAGATAAGAAATAGATGTCTGGCTAAGATAAGAAATAGATGTCTGGCTAAGATAAGAAATAGATAAGAAATAGATGTCTGGCTAAGATAAGAAATAGATGTCTGGCTAAGATAAGAAATAGATGCCTGGCTAAGATAAGAAATAGATGTCTGGCTGAGATAAGAAATAGATGTCTGGCTAAGATAAGAAATAGATGTCTGGCTAAGATAAGAAATAGATAAGAAATAGATGTCTGGATAAGATAAGAAATAGATGTCTGGCTAAGATAAGAAATAGATGTCTGGCTAAGATAAGAAATAGATGCCTGGCTAAGATAAGAAATAGATGTCTGGCTAAGATAAGAAATAGATGTCTGGCTAAGATAAGAAATAGTGTCTGGCTAAGATAAGAAATAGATGTCTGGCTAAGATAAGAAATAGATGTCTGGCTAAGATAAGAAATAGATGTCTGGCTAAGATAAGAAATAGATGTCTGGCTGAGACAAGTGGCAAGAGATAGATGTCTGGTAGATGTCACTCTGACTAACAGAAATCACAAAGATCAAAATTCTCTACTTCAGTTGTCGTGCATTGGTGATGCCGAACACGATTCCACCGATTAAAAGTTGCACCGAAGCACTTCAATACAAACAAAAACTTCAGAAATATGTGAGTGTATAGTCGAAGAAACAAGACTTCGTGTGGGTTGAAGGCTCCAGAAGTTGAATTTTTGATGACCATTTATTTGGGCCCCTGGGTGGATGTGGATGACTTGCGGGAGAACTCAAAGAAATGCTCTGTTCATGGTGTAGGATGCACACCAGTCAACTCTACTTAATCATTTGTGTTCTGATAGATCAAATGTTATCCCAGGGGAGTTACAACGAATAGTGAAGCAGGCGTCGAGTCATTTGAGTCTTATTATCCGATATTTGAGGCGATGGAAGAATTGGGACTCTCTCTCCACCTGCATGGTGAGTAACGGCGGGCCCGGGATACGGAATTCGCGACGAAGGAATGCAGCAACAAACATTGTTATCACACTTGGCGCCATTCTCTACTCACTGGTTGTTTTCAGGTGAGACTCCCGACGTTGATCCTCTTAGAGCCGAACAATCATTTCTCCCTGAAGTCATTAAGGTGTGTACCTCCTAGCGTTGCTTTTCTATCTTCTCTAATAATTTCAGATTGAGAAAAAGTTTCCTCGATTGAAGATTGTATTGGAGCATGTTTCATCTAAAGCAGCAGTTGACTTGGTTAAGAAACTTGGGCCTAACGTTGCTGCAACAATAACAGCCCATCATATCGAAGTACGTCAATCGTTTGGGACATTTGGGACAATACTGTCAAATTGACATTCGGATTAACTAGAACTGGTCTGATATGTCTATAGGTTATTGTTGACGACATTTTTGATGAGAACATTACGCAATTTAACACTAAACTTCATCCAATTAAACACCCACATCTCTACTGCAAGCCAGTACCCAAGCATAAAGAGGATCGGGATGCAATTCGTGAGGTCTGTCTTTCAGCCAGCTGCAACACAAAAACATGGACACATCTCTCTCAGTTTTTTTCGTCTGACCATTTGCAGGTTATTGCTTCGGGAAATCCAAAGTTTTTCTTGGGCTCAGACTCAGCTCCTCATCCACGGTGATGCTCACTAATCATTATTCCACTGATTTTCTTCTCAGGTCCCTCAAAGAATCAAATTCCTCCCCCCCTGCTGGCGTCTTCACTTCAGCATTTCTCGCTCAGGTTATTGAATCTTCCAAAAATATTTTACGTTGTCTTGCAGTATCTTGCTGATGTATTCTCGCAACTCGGTTGTCTCAATCGGCTCGAAGGTTTTGCATGCGATTTTGGCGCACGCTTCTTCGGCCTTGAACCCAACGGTGAGATCAACACAGAATTCGAGTTTTATTTATCTCTGTCCTCCTGATTTTAGGATCTCGATTTCCTGATCGTCATCTTCAGATCTTGAGTGCCCCATTTAAAGTAAGTCTCCGCACATTGACGTCTTAATCAAGAATGATTGGCAGGTACCAGAAGAAATCAAAACAGAGAAGTCGGCTCAGCTTTCAGTAGTTCCATATCGAGGGGGTGAAACCTTGATGTTCAGTATTGCAGTAAATCTTTGATGTTCGGTATTGAGCAGTAACAGAGTAAAATATGACCAATGTCTTGCAATTGTCAGACCAGTAATTAGTAAGCCGCCTAAACTGTTTCATTTAAACAATTGGGACACGTTTCTGTGTTGCGTTTTGGCACATGCATCAGCAAACCAAATTTCGTCATGACATCCGCTAATGATGATTTTTTCACTTTGATTCATCGAAAAAAAATAGAAACAAGGAAAGAACAACAACTCCGTCCAGATAATTCAACTAGGAAGAAGCCTCGATCAACAAGCACCTCAGAAGACGAACTTAGCCTGCATGGTTCGGATGAACCCTTAGAGTGAGTCTTGTGTCTCCAATGGGCTGAAAATGGCTTCATTCTACAGAAATGACCAGCTGAAACGTTTACTCTCAATTTTGAAAACATCAAATGTTGAATCTGTTTTAAATTCATTACAACTTGCAAATGAGAAAAATCCTAGTTGCGAAGAAAAAAAAAAGTGCAGAAAAATAAGCCAACAAAACAGCTCGACAACTGATGCTTCATCTGAAGATTTGGAAGAACAGGATTTTGATGCATCAGTTCAATTCTGCAAAGTGGAAAGGGAGTCACCGCTTCTGTTGAAAGAACTTGATGACGTTCTGCCTTCGCTTAAGAAAAACGCGTTATATGATGGAGAGGGTTGCAGTCGTGTGAATTATTCTGAACGACTTCCAGCCATGGAACATCGTGATCGTCCACGAAGAAAAGCAAGAAGGAAACACCTGGCAATGATTCGTTCAACACCATGCAAAGTGAGACAATTGCACAGACAAGAAGACGTCGGTGGTGCTTCAAGCTGACGTCGGTGGTGCTTCAACCTGATTGATTGATTTGTTTGATCTCAGCTCTCAACGCTTTCAGTTGCTCTGTGTTTGAGGCACTTTTCTTACTTTTGGGATGGGGGCTGCAAGAAAAGAGCAAGACTGGAGCTCAACGAAAGCTTCACCGCGTGGCGCAACGAGTTGCTGAGACGACGAAGAATTGAATTAAATGCAATTATAGAGGCACAGCAAAGCAAGATCAAAACTTACGAAACCCAATTGGAGAAGCAAGTGAGTTGGAAATTCAATAATCTGCGCAAAGAGTCTGACGGCAGAACGGTATTAGTTGTTCTCTGCTTGAGGAGATCGAGAAGCTGCGAAAATCATTTGACGAGGAAAAAACCGTAAGAATTTCTGTCACAAAGAAAAAAAATATCCCTTCGTAGTGTTTGAAAACCAAAAATGCATCATTGGAGACAGAACGAATGGCAAGAAGCACAGCAATAGCGGCACTTGCAAACAGGCTTGAGATTGAAGTTGAAACAAGGCAGAAATTGGAAGTGAGTTGTGCAACTTAATTATTATTTATGTTCTCAAATCATGTTTTTAAATCATGTTCTTAAATCATGTTCTTAAACAAACAAGAAGCACCTGAGTCTCTTTCATTTTATCGTTTTGAATCGTTGAACAGAAAGATCGCGACGCTCTTGCTGTCGACTGCAATTCCTTGAAGGTATTTATTGATCAGAATTTCGGACTTTATAAATTTTGAATTGTAGGCGAAAATTGAGATGTTGGAGATAAGTGTTGAAAAATACAAACACGACAACCGACGTACATTAGAAGACAAAAATGAAGAATTAAAGAAACTTAAATGCAGATTCGTTTCACTGGTGGGTTTCATGAAATAATCGAGGCAACGCTTCCGAGCCCTCATGTCGTTAAATGCCGTTTGCATTTGCACAAGCTCATCACATGACGGTTTTCTTTAACCTTTTAGACTTCTCAGGAAGCAACACTGAGAAATGAGTGCCGGATGAGGGTTGAAGACTTGCTGGGGCACATGGAACGTTTGACGAAAAGGAATGAAGACAATCTTAAAAAAATTAACGAAAAATCAACGACGATCAACAACCTCGTAAGAAAAAGGGAAACGAAGGGTTTCAAGTTTGTGTCACTGTAGAGAGAAGCACTACAAATCGACTTGGATGACCGTCGAAAAACTGAAGAAAAACTAAACCAAGTTGAACGGGAGAGATTACAACTGAAAGAGCAACTAAAATCCCCGGTAAGAGACGCTCTTAGAAACGAGTTAATTTGTGCTTCAGCAAATGAAATTAAAAGAGACGCAAAAGATAATTGAAGGTCTTCATCAGACGAATAGCGACCTTGATGTGAGTATGAAGGAATTGTGAGTATGAAGGAATTGTATCTATGAAAGAATTGTATCAGCCATTTATTGAAAGCTGTAATGGGCCTTGAACTCATTCACTCTCTCTTTGTCTTCTCTCTGAACAGAATCAGCTTGATGCGCTTCGACGTGAATCAAGTTTGAGAGTTTTAGAAATTGAAAGCAAAATTCGGGAGTTAGAAGAAAAAAATGGAAAACTTTTGGGTAAAAATTGATGAAGGAGACAATCGAACATTCTTGCTCTGCAGCGATGAACGTCCGTTCAAGAAAAGATAACGAAGCACTGAAGGTTCAATTAACAAATTTGGAACAATCACTCGAGTTAAGGAAGAAGGAGTCGATTGTTTCAATTGGAGTGATGGAGAAGGAAATTATGGATTTGAAATCGAAGTGAGTTGATCTCTCATTCATCTCTCGTGCGACTCAACGGTCTGTTTGAACTAACGAAAGTCGAATTGGAAACCTCGTATAACGAAACTGTCTCTCAGACAAGCGGAACTTGAAGCTGTGGATTCGCAACGATGCAAGCGTCTTCACTACCTCGACGATCGTTGCTTGCATCTCGAGAAAGAGAGAGAGCTGTTGATTGTAAGTGAAGCGAGATGATGATTGGGATTGATGAACATCCTACAGCAACGAATCAAATTTCAAGAGTTTGTTGTTTTGAAAGTTGAAGAAGCGAAACAAACCCAGCGTGATGGTGTTCAGCCCTGGCGAAGATCCAACGAATTGCGGGAAGAGAAAGAATATGAGAAAGAGGAAGAGAATGGGAAAGAGAGAGAGGATGGGACAAATGGGACACGCGTCGACAAAGAGGATGGGACAAATGGGACAACGGTCGACAAAGAGGATGGGACAAATGGGACACGGGTCGACAAAGAGGATGGGACAAATGGGACATGCGTCGACAAAGAGGATGGGACAAATGGGACACGGGTCGACAAAGAGGATGGGACAAATGGGACATGCGAAGACAAGGATGGAACAAATGGGACACAGGTCGACAAAGAGGATGGGACAAATGGGACACGGGTCGACAAAGAGGATGGGACAAATGGGACATGCGTCGACAAGGATGGAACAAATGGGACACAGGTCGACAAAGAGGATGGGACAACGGTCGACAAAGAGGATGGGACAAATGGGACAACGGTCGACAAAGAGGATGGGACAACGGTCGACAAAGAGGATGGGACAACGGTCGACAAAGAGGATCGGAAAGAGAAACAGAATAGGATAGAGAGAGAGGATAGGAAAGAGGATGGGGAAGAGGATGGGGAAGAGAAAGAGAAAGAGGCTGGGATAGAGGTCGAGAAAGAGGATGGGCAAGAGGGTGTTGAAACGAACAAGAATCAAGTTGAAATCATTAGTGAAGAGAAGGAAATTGCATCAAGTTGGGAGTCGAAGAATTGGTTTGAAGAAACTGACATCTTAGAAATGAAAGAATCACCACGATTTGGATGGAAGTCGAACGATCTGAAGGAAACACGGAGCGATTGGAATTTGGAGCAAACATCTGATACTAAAGAATATGAGTCTGATTTCATAAGTAGCAACATGAGAGATGATACATCGACTGAAGGAAATATGAGAGACGATGCATCGAGCAATCTTGAAGGAGTGGAATTGTTGTCAATTAGTGTACAATCTGCACAACGACGATCGCAATTGTCCAAGAGAAAAGAAAAACATGAACTTCAGAAGAATCAAGAAGGAATTTTACGGGTGAGTCTGCATGACATTGGGACAGTGATGATGGTGATACTCAGGAAATTGATGTCACATTGGCGCTACACCATTTCTCACTTATACGCTATTCAACAGAATGCCATTTAGCTTATATTGATGTCCTGATACAAACAAAAAAGTACAGAAAATTAGCTGATGAAGCTAAAGAGCTCGAGCTTGTCGACGAGAAGAAGAAAATTGATGCAATACGATTTGAAGCCTTAAAGATCAAATTGAGAGATACAAGGTGGCTATTGGAGGGTTCACATAAATGTCGAGACGAGTGAGAGATTTGTGAGAGGAACAAGTTGTGAAATATTGATTTCAGATCTGCAAGGAAGCGATTTGATCTTCTTCTCGATATAAAAAAGTCGCAACGTCAACGTGAAGAAATCATCGAATGGCTGAAATCAGGAAGATGAAACGCAAACTCTCTCGCCTGAAGATTGGCGTGGCAACCAAGTGTTTAAATGTTGCACACGCTTTAAAATCACTTAAAGAAGAAGCCTGACTAGAAATTACAATGCGGTACCGTTGGTGGTCCCGCTTCAGGGCCGACAACAACATCAGGCTGTTTATCTCCCTCCACAGTTTCTACCACATCTGCAATACCGCCATTTGGAACCCCCATAGTTTCATCAACTGTCACTCCATCACTTATATCATAGGGTTTCTCTTGCGCCATTTCAGCTTTGCGAGCCAACTCCGGATTTTGTGCACTGGAATGTTTTGGATCGAAATTTGGTTGAGGACTTTTGAAACTTCTCTCCTTGAAGTAGACCTCGCTAAAATAATGTGCTTCAACAGTCCGTCCCGCAAATTTCCGTCCGGATAAACTCTGAAGACAAAACGTGTCCCAATCATTAGAATTGCCGGATTGTTGGGTCGCTTGTCTGAAGCTTGGCCTCAGGAATCCTACGCTTGTTACATCGACGCGTATTCCTTACTGCTCGTTACTGCCACTACACGTCTTTTTTGAACACCTACCTTTCTTGCAGCACCTGCCCCTTCTATCGTTTCAAACTCTACAAATGCGAAACCAACATCTGATTCGTCGAACTCGCCAGGTTTTGAACCGGTAATTGGACGTGGAATTTCAACCTTGAGCACCTTTCCAAACTCCGAGCATTCCAAGGAAATGTCATCCACAATTTCGTAATATTCTTTGTTATCATTGAGCTGAAAAACAGGAACAATCTCACACGATCACCACCGACAGGCAACCGCCTACTTCCTCCTTTGTAACAAGATTTGCGAGCATAATGCACCGTGTCGCTATTTGTGGTTTCATCAAATCCCCTCCGAGTTCCTCTCTCAGATTCCGGCCTGCATCTGCAGCCTTCTGCATCACTTCTGATAGACGGCCTTCAGTGATCGCCTCCTCTGCTGGAACTATCCTTAACAGGGATTCGCCAACTATGCGGTGCTCCATTCCACTGCTCATTGCTTTTTGTTGGGCCATCTCACAATACTCAAAAATACAGACTCCCTAAGAAAAGGATATTTGAAGCAAAAAATATTCGAATATTTGAACTGAAGAATATGTGGAGTAATGAAGAACATTCTTACTGCAGCAGGGGAGTCGCCAGTTTCTGGAACCTCGAAGTATTGGAATACTTTAAGAATTCCGTAGCTGCTCAAGATCTGCTTGATCTGAAATCCGAAGCAATTCGAACCAAATTCAAATTCACGAAAACCTCACTTCCTTCTCAGACACCGTATCAGGCAGATCCAAAATAACTAAGCGATCCGGTCTCTCTGCAAACGCGTCGCTAAAAAATCGCATGAGATTCGTGAAGTCTCACCCTTGCGTTTAGAAAAAACCGATTCCAGCAGCTGCAGCTTGAGCAACCTGGACGGCGGCTGACGATTGCGCTACAGCAAATGGCATCTCGGCCATTGGCTGAGGAAGAGCAGCGAGAAGGTGGGCGTATTCAGATGGGTACGTCTTAGGGCGTCCTATTCGCAGCCTGGAAAACAAAGAAAATTAATAGAAACCAGGGCTGCTGCCTAAACAGATTGCCCTTCACTGATTTCATGTCAGTCTACCTCCATTGAAGTAGAGAGACTAAATCAAATATGCACGATCGAAAACAAAGAAAACCGCCTATAAATTTAACGATCATTCATATAATAAGGAAATAGAATAACAAAGCAGCAAACACAAGCAGGCCAGTTGTCTCAAGCTAATCAAGAAATGGAAGATACCGCGACTTACGAATAACCCAAACAGTTGAGTCCGTTTAATTGTAATCCGACTGTTGCTTCCTCAATTGTTCGAAATTCAGCGAAAGCAAAGTGACTATCAGACGCACTCCATGCACGAACAACTGGATTGCCAGGCCACGGAGATGCTTTTATCGAAATCAATGCTGCATTCAAAAATTCGATGAGTTGATTGACTTCAAGATTGGGTGGAAGATTTCCGACGTAAAGTTCCCGAGCCCCTAAAGAATCAGCGCATATGAATTGGTCAATCTGGTGTCATGAACCAAGAGTCCCAACAGAATAACGGGAAATCACTCACCCTTGTGCTGTTCCGCCGTTAGACCGAGAGTTTGCGCGACAATTCCCATTGGAGACGACAGGAGAGGACTCTCCCCGGAGAGAAGACTCGAAAGAGTTCCGGAAATTCCGTTCAAAGATCCAGAGCTTGGAATCAATCCGGAACTCAGAAAAGGATTCCCTGTCGCGTCAAAATTCGCGTCGCGGGGCGGACTGTCGAATCTCCAGGATCGCGAAACCTGCGGTACGGAACGACGTTCCGGGGATTCTACGCGACGTCGCTTCGTTGCGGCTTCGTCTTTCGGTTTCACATCGACGGTCTCTCGCGGTGTGGACCGCCTTGGTGAACGGTGAGACTCTTCTGGACTTCTTGACCGAATGGAAACATCGCGGGGTGACTCTCGCCGTCTTCTGCTTCCAGGCGAAACGCTCGTCCGTCTTCGTGATCGTCGCGGTGGAGTCAGAGATCTCCTCCGATAATAACGACGCTCCGAAGATCTTTGTCGTCTGTAATGGTCGTCATCGTACGTACGCCGACTGACTCTTCTATCGTCGTTCCGATGTCTTCTCCCTCCCTCTACTGAAGGATCCCTCTTCTGTCTCCTTCTATCCGTCTCTGATCTTCGCTCCTCGCTCATGCTACGACGTCGTTTACGACTTCCATCGCTTGTCATAACAAAGTATCAGGAGGAGAAAAGTCGATGAACCTGGGACAAAGAGCTGCCAGTATGAAAAAAAAAACCAAAAAAAAATTCCAGAAGTTTTGGCTTTGCATTTTAATTAACGCACTCTGTGGGACAAACAAACGGTTCAGATGTTTCGTTCTCATTGTGAGGGGCTTGCCTATTATGATGTCACAGGCCTTTGTTGTGACGAACCCTTTCTTTGTCTCTGCAGTCACCAGAAGGGAACGAACGAGTTTCCCAATCTTCTCACATCGATGCGCCAAGAGTGTCATTTTGTTCAAATTGTGATCCTATGGAATAACAAACATAAATGTGAGAGAAATCGAATCCCAGTGTGTTGATTGGGACACCCACCTGAACAAAAAGATCTAGAATTGGATCGTCATGAGGGTCAGATGCCGAGAAGAAGTCAAATGGGATTGTGATGGTCGAGCCTTTGACTCCATAGTAGATTGGGGGAGGATCTCGGCAGTCGAGGAGGGGAAGGAGAGTCTCAGATGCATCTTGTTCCTCATATGGGTGTGAAGGAATCCATGAGGGAGGTTCGAAGGTTAAAGGAGCTCTCATTGCATCTGTGTGGGTTGCGACGAGGCTGGTAGATGAAATTTGAATGGAAGGGTTGGTTGTTGATGATGAATCGAATTTAGATGGAGCGTCTGTTGTACGAGTTGTTGATGTGGTGGTTGATGCATGAAACGATGATGTTCCAGTCTTTGTGGAGGGAGCAGAACCATGTGCCGTACCGTGTGGAACAGAACCATGTAAAGTATAAGGTGCAATTGTTGCTGTTGGTGATGGCTGTGCTGTAGTTGTTGTGGGGGGAACAGAACCATATGCAGTACCATGCGCAATTGTTACTGTTGGTGATGGCTGTGCTGTAGTTGTTGTGGGGGGAACAGAACCATATGCAGTACCATGCGCAATTGTTACTGTTGGTGATGGCTGTGCTGTAGTTGTTGTGGAGGAAGCAGTACCATGTGCAGTATAAGGTGCAATCGTACCATATGAAGTAGTTGGTGAAGGTTGGGCTGGAGTGTTTGTGGAGGGAACAGTACCATATGCAGTACCATGTGCAATTGTTACTGTTGGTGATGGCTGTGCTGTAGTTGTTGTTGAGGGAACAGAGCCATATGCAGTACCATGCGCAATTGTTACTGTTGGTGATGGCTGTGCTGTAGTTGTTGTGGAGGAAGCAGTACCATGTGCAGTATAAGGTGCAAT